ATCATGAACTTTATAAATGTGACCACGTCTTTCAGTACTGTATCAGTACTTTGAATTTTCAACGTTTGATTTTAACTTTGTGTATATCTTGATTATATATTTTTTTTGCAAACAAAATGTGTTATTATTTTGGGATGGATATCTCATCTCTCGATTCAGTACGTTCAGTACTTTGATTATTACGCCGTTTTGACGGGCCTATAATACTCGTATAAACTAGTATATAGAGGGTGTTAAGAAAGTTTGTTACATACTGAAATATTTCTGAAAATTTCAAAGTCGTGTTTCCTGAAGAGATTAATTTTCAAGTCTAACAAAATCACTAGACTGTGCTTTCGTTTATAGCAATTAATTTTTAGCAGGACATTGTAATCACGATATTTTGTTTCATATGAAGATATATAAAGCACTTTCAAAACACACAAATAACAGATCATTGTTGGACATTTTGATGGAAATGTATGATTTGTTACTTTTGTTTCTTTAAAGCTTATCTTGCATCATACAAGTGATAATAAAGAGTTATTTTCCCCCAAAGTAGATTTTTTTCGATGAAATTCTATATTGATTTTGTAATTTCTGAATAGGTATTTGAAGGCCTATATTGGTCTGTTTGCTGGAAATATTTCCCAGATATTCTGTATTTCTGGTTTTAGTACAGACATTATCTCTTTCAATATCTGCCTTCTTCCTTTTCATAATTTAAACAAAGAACAATTTGAAGCCTTATCAGTAACAAGACTGGACTGTCTAAACATAAAATATCACATATTTTATATATCTACGTCCCTAATTCTGTGTTACTAGTTTCCTTTTCGATCAAATGAAGCAATTAAATGTTAAGGACATACGCAACGTAGTTTGAGCTTTATCGTCTTTTTCCCTGGAGTTGAAGAGTTCCAATACTTAAAGTAACTGTGTGCTACATTTTAATGTCTATATATGCTATTGTACACTTCTTCAGAATCAAGTTTGGATAAATAAAACATCGAGATTATATGTTTAGTAATTTTTGTATATTTTTCTTTCAATTATACAAGAATTTTCATCAATTGATATATTTTCAAAACCCCTGGTAAAGCATGTTGATTTTTTGTCTACGAACATCTGATGGCACTATGATCTTAAATTAAAAATATCTTGAAAAATTATCAGTAGGTAAGGTACGTTGCGTATATATGTCCTTAAGTTACTATATTCTGACCAAATGATTAAAATATATCCATTACAAACGTGTCCATGAATTGGTACTGTAAAATATTTTGAAATTGCCATGCATATCATTTGCCTTGTAGGCTCTGTAGACATATATATATATACGAGAAAACATGCAGAATAAAGGTGTATTATACGATGTATAAGAATTGTTAGTTTAAACTTTTTTTACACACTTAAAGACAACGTCCGAGTACTGATCACTAGCCAATAAACTGTGTAAACATTACATTTTTCATTTTACCGCTTTTTTATTTCATTGAACAATGTTCCTGTAATAATAATAAAAAGAATATTTATATCTTAAAATATATAGTTATATGTCTATTCTCTTCTTGATAACATTATTTCTTTAACAGTTTTTTTCTAGATATATATTTAAAAACCTTTGAGTTTTGATATCATGCTCAAACAGAGCATGATCTTAAACAGAGAAAAAAAAATACATATAAATGTATCTGTATGCAGCTACATTTGTGATGATATATTATCTGAAACAGAGTACTAATATAAAAAAAAATGTGACATGAAAACAAAACGAATTTTTCACCTGATGAATAAACAAAATGTCTTATTCTTGAGATGTGAAGATATAACGAACAGTACCAATTAAACAATCCAATGACAAAGTTGAAGAAAACGAACAGTGATCATTATCATAAAACCTACAAATAATACAAATATATGAACAGGGCAGAAAAACACGGACCTCTGGAAATTTCAGCTTTGGGGTCAGGTGCCAAGGAGGAGTGAACATACCCTGTCGACCGGTTTCACACCGACCGTGTACCCCTTGTCATGATCGGGTAAAGTGAAAAAAAATCGGTAGACAATTCAGTGTGAAAATAATGGCCTAACAGTTTGTATGAAAGACATCAGTTAACATTTGCAAATAAGGCCATTGTATCGACAATAAAATTTGCGAATGTTGACTTTAATACATAAATAAGCGAAGTTGACGATAAAAAAGTTGAAGTCATCGCGTTTAGTCGTATAGTTTGCCATCAATACCGGTATCTGTTTCTAGTAAAGCATCAAAATATGAAACAGGTGTGCCAGACTCAGTCTCTTTTATTTCGAGTTCAATGGGATATATTAAATCAGCGTAGGAATAAAATGAATATTGTTAATTGATAAAACATTGAAAAGAATACAAAACCAGACCTGCTAATAATGGGAGACATGGGAATTCCAAAAGATTGTTGGAAGACCTTGTCTCCAAAAGATTACATAGATACTGTCAATAAGAAACTCAAGCATCTTTTTAATATCAACCTCTGAGGAGTTATGCGTAAAAAAAACAGAATGTCTTTTAACAAAATAATTTTGAAGATGACCAATGACGAGTTCCATTTTTATTGAAGAAGCAGTTGTCTATGATGTCAAGAAGCCTTGTCTTTGATTTGTCGTGGGAAATGGTTGTATAAGGTTGTACAATGTGATGAAAGGTCCTATACGTCTGTTTGATGCTACTAATTTTAGTAAAAATTTTTATTTCAATTTTCAAAAAGTTCCTTGGAGTTTTTAAGTATCCACATTTGATTAACACAACTTCACGAAATATGTTGTTGTACAGTACTCCTGAAGTATTTTCTTCACTGTTGTTAATATTTTAGTGAGGGGTAAATGAAGAGGCTTGGTAGAACGTTAACTAGAAGCAGTTATGTATCTGTGTAAGGATTTTTATGAAGTTTTAGGAATCCACTATAGGTGTGGTACTGTAAATCACCTTTCATTCGCGAGAACTTTATAATCCAATAATTAGATAGAGCAAAAACCACAATTCGTGAAAATTTTGTCCCGCTAATAAAGAGATATTGACTATCTCGTGAAATAAGGTGTCGCGAAAGTTTAGTGATCTACAGTAATTCGAATTCAATAAAGTTGTTGGGATTATTAAATTTTTTTTATTAATAAATATTTAAGGGTTGGTGCACATTAAGGCTTGCCTTAATCCTAGAACTGAGGTTTCATGACTTATAAGGCAAACCTTACCGTATGTACTCGCCCAATACTGAATTACCGTTTTGGATTACCTCTTGTAGAATTAAATCCAAGTTTCTCTAAAATGTAATTACAAACAAAGACTATGTTTTTATCTGCTTTGTCAGTTAGGACCAGTACATACTATCTTATTCTGTAGTCACTTCTGAATTTCTAAAGACAGAAGGATAGATAGTTTAAAATTACACCTCAACCGTTTAACACAAGATTTCGGCATCTTCCTTAAACTTTTACGGAAAGATGATACCAAACAAAAAAAATGGATGTTTTTATGGTGCAAAAATTTAGTGATAACTTGATAGAACTTGTTCATAAACCTCTTTTTTCAATATATATTAAAATTTTTCGTCAGAAAATTGTTCGTTGACATGCAGAACTGATATGTATATAAAAGGACTCACATTCATATATTCTGATCGTTCAAAGAATTCGTGTATTAATTGTAATAAAACAAGAAATGCTTGAGGTACATATAACCCCCCCCCCCCTCCATCCCGTGTGGCAATATTTAATATATGGAACAACTTTAAATTTAGAATGTCTGTAATAATAGTGAAAACAATTGGTCATCTACTAGTCAGGGGTAAACATAACACTAAGTTTGATCTCTATCACACCTCAATATCATTAGGGGTAATTTACTTCTTATGTAGCGCAATGTACCTCTGGACCAAAATCAATGTCAGTAAGGAAATTGATATCTTCCAATGTCTAGTGTCTTTTGTTTGACCCTTGACTTCAAAATCAACAGGGGTCATCTACTTCCTAGAGGAAACCAGTGTACAAAGTCTGATGTCTGTCAAACAAAGGGTTCTTAAGATATTGAGCGGACAATACTTGGTCTACCGACCGACCGACAACCAATAAGTGTAAAGCAATCTATGTCAAGTGTCAAGTTTTATAAATTTTGTTCTTGAGATTGCATTTAATGAAGCATCAATATTGATTTGTCTTGCTTGTTTTCGCAGATTTTATCTACTTGTAATTGTCATTGCATATCCGCTTACGGTAAGATACACGGCTTTCATAACATTGAAAGACCCCGCCCACTACGATTCCTGTAATTTGTGATGTGCACATTAATTGGAGTCTAAAATGACATCAGTGCTCACTGCTCAACATGTATTCAAAATTAGAATTTTCATCAAACAGATTTTAAGAATTTACAAAGATTTATTGTTGTACATATTAAATTTTTCATCAATTTCTGAAATGTTCCCAATTTTCCTGCACGATGAAAATCGATCACTATTTTGTCTGTCCTTATGAATTTTTTTTAGTTGTACATTATCTTTGAGACTGGCTCAATGATCTCATAAAACCCTCATAATTCTTTGCGTGTACTTATTTATCGATTATCTTCACAGAAAAAAAGACATCTCTACAGTGTACATCATAATTTCAAAATCAATGAACAAAGTTGGTAAAAAAAAAAACCAAATAAACAAAAACAAACACAAAAACTAAATACTGTACATTAGGGATAGACATGCGATTTTACAAATGTTGTGAAGGATGCCAATCCATTATTTCATAAATATTCACAATCCTTGAACACGTCATACTTTTATGTATTCGGGTAGATTATCATTTCTGTTCTATAAAGGAGGAAGCCAGTCAATTATCGTACAGCGCCTAGTCAGAACAGTATTATCACTCTGAAGTTAAAGACAAAATGAAGCAAACTCATCCTTATATGTAGTTGCTTTTAAATATATGTTTTCTTTTAGCATACTCATTTACAAATGATCAATATTTATGAATAATCTTTTGTGCTTTCAGAAGTGAGTTGTGATGCAGAATCAAACATGTCCGTGATACTCAGGCGACTTTTGTCGTCCTCCACCCTCATGTGCAATGGAACAAATTCGGACTGCAGCAGTGAACCAAATGTGGGCCTAGCTCTAATGGCACTTATCGTCGGCGTCATACTCGCGTTGTCATTGGCTATGAACAGTGTAGTTTGCCTCGTCTTCTATAAAAAGACTTATCTTCTCAGTGTTTCAAACAGTTTTGTGCTCAACCTTTCTTGTTGTCAGTTATGTAAGTACAATGAGCGTGTTCGATTTTCTATTTCGAGTAATGGTACTTTAAATCTGCTATTGTACTAATTAATCCTAACATACGTTTTCGAGATCAAAACTTAAATGTAGTATTGATAAATTATGTTTTAAAAGTTTTAATATATGGATTATACAATATTTTTTTATTGCTACAGGTTTATCCGTCCTTGTTGCCCCATTTGTTTTGGCATCTATATTCTCCACGAAGTGGGCTTTCGACGACACCTTTTGTAAGGTGCAAGGATACTTCTTTACCATTTGTATCATCGCCATTCAGTTCTCTCTCATGATCATCTCCATAGACCGGAATTACGCCATTATTAACTCCCTCAGATACCCATATGTTTTCACACCAAAGCTAGGACACTTCTTGATCGCGTCAGCCTGGATTTTAAGTGTTATCATTGCACTACCACCCCTAGTGGGATGGGGTTCCTACATATATATTCCTGACCAATATTTATGTGGAATTAACTGGAAATCAGGAAAACAATTCTTGTTGTTCTTGGTTGTGGTTTGCTTTTTAATTCCACTCTTGGTACAGAGTTGGTGCTATTTAAGCATATTTAAAGCCGCAATTGGCCAGACTAAAAGACGCAGTCGTGTTTACCCTTCGATGCCCTCCACAGTTCGTGATCCGCCCAGTAACTCTTCAGACAGCAGTGATCTTTCACAAAGTGTGCAAGTTCAATACAGAAATGTGGAATGTAAGGCTGTTCGAACCATTCTTTTGATAGCTTTTGCTTATGCTTTATGTTGGGTTCCGTTTTTAACCATCATAATCAGTCATTTGAGAGACGATGCGTTTACATCTGAAGTCAATTCATTTGCCATTTGTCTGGTATTCTGTACTGGAATAGTTAATCCCATCATATACGCTTTCATGAACAGGGTTACACGTCATGAGATCAACAAATTCTTCTGTGACACGATCAATAAGGGTAATGGACGAACAACAACCGGAAACGACAGTGACGACTTCTACTCCACAACCATGACCACCTATTCATCGTCAAAGCAAAACGTGGTCGTTTGGACAACTCAGAAAATGCGCAGCAAACATCCGGCTGCCTGTAACATAGAGATGAATACAATTCAGGAGGTTCGTGAAGTTTCCACATCAAGCTCCCCGAACTCGGAACGAAAAGAAGTAGAGAAGAGGACAATTCTACAAAAGACCGAAGAATTGCCCAAATTATCACCCAATTCTTTGTCGATTCCTGGAGCAAGTCAAGTCAACATGTTGAGTTCTAGTGAATCATCCACGTATTCCGAGAGAAGCCCTGGTCAACAACACAAAAGCAGATTTCTACTATCAGTCAGTCGAGATACAACTCCCCAAACAAGTCCAAAAGAATCCCGACAGAGGATTTCTAGAGCACAGTCCGAGTTTTTGTCGCGAGGAGAAACGTTCTTAACCAAAACACAGAAAGACTGTGGGTCATTTCTCAGTTTTGAAGGTAAGCACAAAGAGGTCCATGTACACCGAAAGCGTTCCAATTCACATTATCAGGATTCTTCAAAACAATCAGCTTACACAACCTCTCCGACATTCAAACGTGTCACTGATTTGAGGAGAATAAGTGAAGAATATCCTCCACGTGAAATCTTCTTCTCTGATCCATCATTGACAGAGGTGCCGGAAAAGTCAGTGCTGTATGAAGGAAGAGAAAGGGCAATGACGATCAGCGAGAGTCGCGTGGCTAGGGACTACTTCAAAAACATAGACGACAGAAAAGTATCCGAAAAGGATACAAAATCAAACCATGCTTAATGTTAAATCTTTCCTTTATGTATATGACTTTATATTGTTGGTTGTGTTTTTCAAAATAATTTATTAAAGGTTTTTCTTTTTTAACTTTTGTATTTGAAACACTCCTCTTTTCGTAAAATTCTGAAGATTTAGGTAGTCTGAATATAAATCATTCTAACTATTAAATATAAATATTACTGGATGATAAAACTCGGTTTCATAAATTTTCGCCATGTGAATATAACATACTAAGGATACCCTCATTTTTCTTTTTGATAAACGTCTAGTTGTTAAAACAGATATTGGACCACAGCGATGTTTTTTTTCTGCGTTGTCATGTTTCAGATCAAATGATACTAAAACCTATCGCCCCGCAAAAAAGGGATAAAGAAACCAGAAACAATGAAAAGTTTATATGAGCCAATACGAGGCCATCACGATCCAATAATTTTACCATATGAAAAGAATAACTCACGAAGGGCAAAGAGAATATTGAGGGAGGGGCGTTTCTAGGTTTTTGCAAAGAGTTAAAAAGTCGCCCGCGTGGCGCAGTGGTTAGAGCGTTCGCTCTAGAGTCGCGGGGTAAGGAGTCGATCCTTACGTCGCGGGTTCGAATCCCACTGTGAGACGTGGAGACCGGTCCTTCGGATGAAACCGTATAAACCGAGGTCCCGTGTCGCAATAGGTGCTGGCACGAAAAAGATCCCTCACTGCTCAATTGCCCTGAGTGCAGAGTATAGGTCAAAATTTGCAGCTCTCCACCGGCAAGTGGTGACGTCTCCATATTAGTGAAAAATTCTCGAGAGGGACGTTAAAACAATAAACAAACAAACAAACCAAAGCAGACTTAAAATGAACGCCAATTGCGGGATAACATAACCCTGTCATTGAAAATTGTTCTCATCGAGTTCAATGTACTTTTTGACCAAATCGATGTTAAATTAGCAAACGTACACAATAGACACAAGTGGTTGAATGAATGACAAGAAATTAAATTGACTACTTTCCTCTTTGCCTGCAATATGTCATCAGATCGTCTTTACATGTTGGCGTTCGTGGGCCTCTTGTCACAGTCTCCCAAGGTACTACCAGCTCTGATATTACCAATTTCCTCAAACTTTCCTATACAAGTGCGTTTGAGGGATATGTCCTGTAGTTGGGTAGTCTTTACTACTGGTGAGAATGTTTCCTTTCAAGGTCAACAGGCAGCTCTCAGTAAGCCATCTCCGCGCTGTATGGTGATCCCAATTGTTTGTTCCCTTCTGACAAAATTAATGAAATGTACATGTATCTGATATGAGTATTAATTGTTCTTCTACTTTGGCGTGTGGGCCAGTGCCTACACCTATGCCCTCCCAGAGGAAGGGCAACCTGGCAAGATGACAATAGGTACTCAAGGCTGGCTGGCCACTGGCATAGTGTGCACATCAAGTCTTCTGTCATTCCCCAAATTCTCCGTTGGCAGTACATCAAACTCAGCTCTTGTATTTCTATACAACACTCTATGTCAGTACCCTCTGTTTAGGTTTACATCTAGTCCAGTTTCCATGTTTTCTTTCCTCCTCCACTGTCTAGTTGTATGTCGCCTCTTCTTTCTGTTGCTGTGTCACCTGGTGAACTGTACTTGAAGTTGTTTCCTATCTATGGCTGAGGCCCCGTCCATCCTTATTGTTACTAAGTACTAGTGCCTAGGTCTTGTCTCCTTTTACAGACGGTTTCCACTATGTCCTTATGATGAAGTTTTTATTCTGCTTCCAACACTATCAATTGTTTTTCACTTGTATCCCGACTGTTTGTAGGATCCATCTCTCCTTACTTTCGGATTATTGGATTACTTGGAGTTTATTGTAAGGCGATCCTTCTCAGTTTTGAATATTCCTTTACCACTGATGTGAGAGTCAAACGTGGATTGGTAGGCTTGCTGTAAAGACCGACTGGCAAAAAACACTTGTGTACCCACATATACCCGTCAATTTTTACTCAATGCCCTCTACAGTTTTTAGGTAATGTCGTAAAGTATGAGGAACCTAATTACTCTTTGCATGCAGTAGTAATGCTGGAAGATATACATGTATGTCTAAATTTTAAGCCTTTCTACAGTTGCTATAGTGATGTCGTACAGCATGAGTAGCCATATTAGTCTGGGCAATCAGTGCTGGAAGAAGATTCACACCTCAAATTTCAAAAACAAGCCAGTCTATAGTTTTAGGCCGCAATGCCGTAAAGGATGGGGAGCAGCAAATGCTTGAAGATCCATGCCATAAATTTCCCACACAAACCTGTCTACAGTTGTTATGGCGGTGTCGTAAAGGATGAGTAGCCAAATTAGTCTGCGTATATAGGAGTGCTGGATGATCTGTCGCCTTAAGTTCCTAAGCAAGCCAGTCTTGTCGACGTTAACCTGTCTGTCTCTCGTGTCCCTTGATCCAGACATCTGATGTTGTTTAAGTCTTTCAGTGTATTATTGTAACAATTGCCTAAGCATTTTACCGGGATGTCAATGATCGACAGTTTTTTTCTTCGCCCTGGATCTTTCCAATGAATCATTGAGTGATCTGTAATTTCTTTTAAAACTGCTTTAGGCAGAGTGGTAACGAGATTTTTGTAAAGAGTGGACAGAGGAGGGTCGTCACTATGTTTCTGCATTGGGGGTTGCAAGGGAGGGTCTAAAGGATGTCCTTCCCTACAGCCAGATTTTTTAAAGGTCATGAGTAAGGTGTCCTACTGCTATCTGTTTCGTTCGTCGTCGTCCGTCCTGCGTCAGACATAATTGTTTGAACATTTACAGTTTTTTTAGCAACTGAACTAATTTTGGTATATAGCATCTATGGGTAAAGGAGGACAAAGTGAATTTCATGGTCTCTGCCCACTGGGGCCGGAGGGGTGGACCCCAAACCATCTTAAGTACTGCAATTTTCAAATCTTCTTTACTTCTTATACAACAAGAAGTAAAACTTCTAACATTATTATAATAACCAATTAGCTGTCAACTAAAATTGTAAAAGCTATGACCCATGGGTTAAGGCTCCAGGATGGGGATAAGTTGATCATATACTGAACACGAATTATATCTTATCAATTGACATAAGCAGATAAACTGTTTGCGTGACTTAAATGAGTACTCAACATTTTACCAAAAAATGGTGAAATCAATACCCCCGAACCACGGTTCAGGTCTTGTAATGAGACTTCTAGTTTGTCATCAATGTATAATGAAATACATTACATCTTAGGCTAAATGTTTACATCATTGTAATAAACATATACTAGTAGCCCTTTACGCAGAAATGTAAAATCCATGTCCCTCGAGCTCATAAGGCCATTGGATGGAGCTAAGTTTTTCCGATAATAAAAATTCTTACAAAATTTAAAAATCTTTTTCTTCTCTTTGGGACATCTAGATTTAATTATTACAATGATTTCATAACCCTTTACCTAAATCCTAAAACTCATGTCCCCTGCGTCCAGCAGCATTCAGGTCGTAGGGTGGGACTTTTAATGAACACTTTTTAACGAACACCCCCCCCCCCTCCCGGCCCATGATTCAGGCCCAAGGGTGGGGCTAAGTTGGTCATCTTAGTATAAAATGGAAAAAATATATATAATTTTGAAAGTATTTTTTTTGTTACCCATGGACATGTGTTAGACAAATTGTTTACACGATTACCCTCCACCAAAATTATAAAATTGATGCCTCCTGGGCAAAGCGTTTGTGCCCCAGCTGAAGCTAAGCTGATCATATGTGAAAAACATAACACCTTTAAAAATCTCATTAACTCGTGAGTATCTGTGTCGGAAACCCACGGTTGATTACTGGTCCTTACTCTCTCTCTCCATCATCTGTGTGAGGGCCAGGTGATGGAGGAGCAACCATAATCAACCCTGGGATTCCGACGAGGCTATCAGACAAAATATTTACTTAATTATGATTATGATTAACACTAAGCCCTCTAGCGAAATTTTATTTATGACCCATAGATAAAATCCTAGGGTGGGGTTTGTCTGGCCATATCTTTAAAGAATTGCATCTCTGAAAAATCTTCTTCTTTACATATATATACCGGTATACATACATACATATATGTAAATCTGAACATTGACAACTAGTAAGGGAAATAACTTACATTATAAAGATACAAAAGTTGCATAAAATACCAATGTAAAAGGGAGTCAGGAAGTCAAAAGATGGACAGTTGCTAGGGAGAAGACAGTGCGTGGAACATGTGCCCTTCAATTCATTGAATGCACTGCTAAGTGTACGCATGGCGGAATAGATATACAATGCGCTATGAAAAGGTTATTAATAAAATATTTTTTTTGTTTTGAAATAGCTGAAAACTAGACGCTCAAGCACAAGTTGCGAGTCTACATGAAATAAATAAAATATGTATACGCAATTTAAGGTCAAGATCTAGTAAATGAAAGGAGCCTACAGATTTCTCAAATTTGAGAACTGAATTCCTTTTATGATGCTTTATAACTATAGCTTGGTCAAATAAGGTGTACCGGGGTATAATTTGTAGGTAAACAAGACGAAAACTCATATTTTAAACTGCCATTTTCAATGAAAAATTAAGAAAGTCAGTCATGAATGTGTGAGTTTTTGTCATATCAGACAAATGAAATGTATCCAGATTGCCTACAGTCTCTCAGAAAACGATAATTTGTATGTTCTTAGCCTCTTCCTTCAAATAATGTGAAATTGAATATAGGTACCGGGATTACTTTTTACACGATTTCAAATTGAATGCCATGAAAATACTTTATTTTCTGCATAATTCTATTAGAGTTACAAAGTACGGGAAAAAGAAAGTTTGAATTGATTATGACGTCATAATGGATCTAGCATCAAAAAGACTAAAAGACTTTAACGTAGGTCGCGGGTTTGCTGACGTCGTTAAAACTGGGTACGCAATTTATATAATTTGGGCGACTTTCTTGTGCACATCTGATTATGACGTCACAATGAAAAAGAAATCTGGATATGAACACAAGGTTCAACTGACCCTTTTTTTCCTTTGATCGTATTTGAATTAACAGGGTTTTTTAAAAATAAAAAATGCATTATTTAAAAAAAATGCAAATACCAAGAGATTAAACTTTATTTCTAAAAAGGACATATTTAAATTATATATATAGATCTACAGATTTATCACAAATTAAATACTGCTAAGGTACGATGAAACATATAGACAATTTTTTAGCGACACTGACCTCCTGTTAGGGGACAACTATTTGATTCTGAGGGAGAGGGAGTGGCGAATTTTACCGAGACAGATTGTTTATTTTCATGTCGGTAAAGGACAGGTTATCTATTTCCAAAAAGAAAAAAAACAAGGACAGTTTATTTATTTCTTCTTCACTGAAAAAAGTCTGACAAGCAAAAAAAAAAAAAAAAGAAAAAGAAAGAAAGAAAGAAAGAAAGAAAAACATCAAAGTTGAAAACTCCCATTGGGGGGGGGTGCTATAATTTTTTTTCTTGCCCAGTCGAGGACAGATTTTTTATTTTCAACATTTCCGATGACAGCTTATTTATTTCCATAATCTGCAAGCCCCCCCCCCACCCCCACCCCATCCCCGAATGAAATGTTCGTCCCCTAAGCAACAGCTTGCAATGCTGTTACCTACAGATTTTATTCACTCTGCTTTCCATGTCAAACTAGTAGAATTAAAGTTCTAAAAAAATAATAATAATAATAATAATAAAAAAAACTGGCTGTTGATTACGTCAGATAAAATTAATTTTAAATTCTTGTCCCGTTAACCCCTCTGAAAATGTGGTATGTAAAATAAATATTTTGTTTAAATATATACTGAAAATATATTGTACTTAGTCGGACGATATTTGGCAGAAATTCGTAGATTTGAAAACCTTGCTGGTCTAAATAAAAACATTTTATATAGTTACTTGAATGATACCGTTTTCTTCCAGCACGCTGGAAAAGAAAAATACACAGACAAATGTAAGGATACGTCTAATCTTCTGTTGTTTTACGTCCCTTGCGAGAATTCACTAATATAAGACGTACAAAAAACCTAATCTGAAGAGAAACATGTCTAATAATCATTCCATTAATATTGAATTATTATGATACGCTTCACTGGTCACTTGAAAGCAGACAGACGTGAATTTCTTTTTTATAAAAATTATTTTATCTTATTTTTCTGCACTGAATACCGGATAGATATTCACGACGTCAAGCATGACGTTGCGATATTTTATGACTTCGTTCTTAAAAATGTTACATTTTGCGATATAAAAGCAATTATCCACATTAAATAACGCGAAAACTAACCCGAAGACATATTAATTTTATCACATTAATTTATTTCAAATCAATTCTTTGTTAAAATACCAAAGGGGAAACGATTTCGTCTGCACCATTTAAAAGTTATTGATATATTTTTAAACAAAATCTTGCGTCAAAAAGAGCCGAAAACGACGTTTTTCTTATATAATTCAATAGAATACCGTCAAAAATGTTACGACAACAATGGCATGTTTAAGATTTAATTACACAAAAACGGTGCAGACGAATTTTATAAAATTTTCAGAGAATGTAAAACGAAGGTATAGAATTCATATAACTGATTTTCACGGTATGTTTTCGGACACTTTTAAATGGCCTGCAAACCCGCGACCTACGTTAAGGGTTTGGTTTTGTGTTCATTCAAGTGAAACTCGTATGAAATAAAAATCTCAATATCTTAATAAATACTTCTTCCTTACTCTTGAAAACTGACCTATGACACCTTCCATGGAAAAGCTGTCTTGACATGTATGCAGTTTGGTTGTCACTTGCAGTGTCTTGCAGCAATAATGTGCATATTACACTTGCAGGACTGCACAGCTACAGGTCTAACAAAACAATAACACGACATTTGTTATATATGTGCAGATAGTTGAACGTCAAGGGTACAGCTATTTGTTTCGTTCCTAGCAATTCTGTGCGTACTTTTTCCATATCTGTCTGTTTTTCATCAACTAGGCATGTCCGCCATGCGAAATCCGTGGGCTGCCATTCCGGTATTGAAACTACTGACTATTTCTGTAATCTGATGTCTCTAGTAACCCAATTACACAAAGCAATTAGAGAGACATCTCTTAAAACATCTCAAGCTATTAGAATGTATTGGTCGAAATTTTTAATATTATTTATCATAAGAGTAACATCGATGTTTACGTCATATCAGAGAATGCTCCGTCTTTGATTTTACAATGCACCAGATAAATTAATACGCGCCCAGTTTTAGCAGTTCCGACTGAAGTTAACGTCTGTTATTTCTTTTGCAGGTAAGGTTATGAATTACTTTTTATCAAATAAGCATATTAATCCTACAGATGTAGGACAATGTCATATAATATTGAAAAAATATTGCAGGGAAATTAAGAACTATATTCATTCTGCGTAGTTTATATCTGAGGTCTGTCATGCGATATTCGGCTAAACTGAAAGTAGGAGCTGGTAGGTAGATTTTTTGTCTTTATTGTGAATTATGAGCCTTTTCTCAGATATATAATATAACTCCTATTATCAGTAATACATTTTGAGTATGACAACGCCTGCGATCTGATGCACATCAATTTTAAAAAGGTTAAACGTTATACGAAGGATCCGAGAATTTCCACGTGTTTCTTGCAGACCACAATTTGGTAGCGGGTAATATTTAAGGTTACTCTAATAAATGTTACTATGTTTCAAAATACTAAAGGTATTCGTCATTGTATCAACGTATAGTTCATACAAAAACAGGGTTTCAAATATTATGAGTAGCGTAAATAACTAAATTTTGTTTTCTTTAATGAGCGATTTTTGTGTAAGATCCTTCATTGAGCCCCAGACACACCAAGTTAAACGTCCAATGACAGCTAAGTGAAATGGCTCTACGTAGTACACATATATGGTAAATCAGTTGTGTTATTTGTTAATCAAAATTTTGATATTCAAATTTTATTGCTTTTTTGTTTTACTTTTTGTAAAAGGGATGCAAGTATATATTATTAATTATTTACATGTATATAAATAATATTCACATAAGTTTGTTCTATGTATACAAACCATTATTTTGGACTTGGTCATTCTAATTTGCAGATTAGTGCAGTATACATATAAGTTTTCATGGGGAAAAGTATAAATTAAATGATAAAAATTTTCAAGGATGTCAACTTAATTTGGTTTTTGCTTGATATGTAAATTGTTCATCAAATGAAGAGTGCAGCAAAATTGAAAAATAACTTCCTTTTTTTTTAAATAAGAAAATTGCATAAAGTATTAATTATTTTCTAGTTGAAATGGTTAAGATTGAAAAATTGAATTTCTGCAACTGCATTGATTTCATCAAAAAGGGAGTAATAATATTGAATTTATTCTTGTAGAAACCTCTAAGACATTTCTATAAAAATTGAAAACAACTAATGAATGTACATGTAGCCACCACTTTATCTCAAAGGTTATTATTATTATTATTTTTTGAGGACCTGCATTTTAATGGTACAGATAAACCTTGTTATTTCTATCCTGACTATCCTGATATGGTACCAATAAAAAAAAACCCCAAGAAATCCGATAGTTTGACACATTAAGGTTAAAATGCTTAAAGAAAAAAAGTGACTTTCAATGAAATATGAAGATAACAAACAATACCCAAATTCAAATTGAAATTCACATTTATTGATGTTCTTGAGATTGAAGCAAAACTCTATTCTTATAAGGTAACAGAGAAAAAAGTTTTATTGAGCCAGTTTCAGGAAATAAATACCATTCAGTTAAAATACTGACACCTTCAACAAAGATTAATACTAATATCTAGATTTAAAAGAATTGTTTTTGAACTTTTTTCCTAAACTTTATTATAACTATGTTTACCATGTTTACAGAATGCCTTGTTTCACAAAAAAGAACACTGCTCAGATATTTTCTCTGGACTGCCAATTTCTGCATTTCATGTGATACCTGTGTTGGAGCCCTCCCAAGAACCTCCCCTGTAAGGTGAGTTTTATATCACAATGAAATGATTCTGTAAATTTAATAGACGTGTATAAGGGTATAAGGTAGATGTTATAATCACAGTGAGCTGACTAGTCATTTTCATTTTGTATGATTGGATTCAGATGTTATTCTATGGGTAATGAATGAAAGAATGTACAATTTTTATGATGAGAAATATATATGCGGTTGGATGAAAAGAAAGATCTTGTTTAAGTGAATGTTGTGTATATGTCCATCACATTGTCTCAAGCCATGGTTGGAGTCCGCCTACAGCTCTCTCCTACCCGTGGCTGCTTGAGCGAATAAAGTATTGTAATCATGAATAATCAAACCTTATGACTGTGATGTCACGTTATAAATCAAATAGATATAAAAATAATTGTTTATATTGCAGTTGACTTTAATGATAAAAAACAAATGTTAGGTAAACAGTGACTGAAAAAAGAAAAGTCACATCTGAGGTTATTTTTAAATAATTGAAAACTTCAATCTCTTTTGGAAGGAACTGTTTCTGATCATCTTCTTGTAGCTTACTAACACATATGTCATCATATCAGGTTTTTAAAATTCTGCCATCAAATCCTTACCTTGTCATTTAACCTTCAGATTTTGTACCGATATTTGTTTGCTTTATTTGACTATGATCTTGTATGCTTGTCTCATCTACTTCCCAAGGCAGGATGACATGACCATCACTTGGGTTTACCTTGATCTTATTTATGGTTGACCTCTTTATAAACAGATTAAACTCATTTATCTTTATATGGATTAAACTACTCTGATCTACACAATTGTAAATTAAAATGAGATACATGTATATTCAATGCAACAATCAGTGTTGGCCAACATTTACAATGTGACCATCATTGTTGAGGGATGTGTAGTTTTTGACCCTGAAATTTGCATGGCTATCTTTGCATGCTTTTTACTTAGTCATGATGTAAAGATTTAACTTGCAATTCAAGTTCCTTCTTTGAGAGTGATCAACAGTATTGGTTTTTTAGTGATATGTTATAAATTATTCATATTTAATATTTTACAGATTTCAAAGTTAAGGAGATCATTCAAATGATAGTGGTTTTGGTCCATGTTGGTTTGTCTCAACAGTTAATCTTTTGGAAAGCAGTGTTGGAGAAAATATCAGCAACATGTGAAGACTGTGATTTAGTTTCATACGATATGACTTGAGAAAGTTAATATTTCTGATTTCATGGTTGTATGTACAAATACATTGAACTTTCCAAACACCACTGAAAAAAAAACATGATGACCATAAACAAAAGTACATATTTGAACTTTCCACAAGTTTACAATGAGAAACATTTTGGGATCTTGATACAGGATATTTTAATAATGTTTTATCTAATTTATTGTTTAGTGCATTAAATGCAAAAAATGTTTTAAAGTCACTCTTGTGAAACACATGCTTAGAACACAGGTCTCAAATATCTTAGAGTTATATTGTTAGAATTGAAGCTTATTTATAAAATTATACCTTATATCTTTAAAGAAACTTTCTAAAAAGTAGTCAAACTTGCATATGCTGGTTAACACGTTAAAAGAAATAATATATCCTGGAAGTGATTAAGAATAAAAAAGTTCATTTATCATCCTTTTCTTTTGTTCTTCTTGGTGACTTTTTTTTACAATAATCAAAGACATTTTACATTTTAGCTCATCTGAACAGAGGCTCTATTGAACTTTTCTGATCAAAGAGTCTCTGGTGTCTGTCCATCTGTCTTCCATAAAAATTAAACCCTAAAATAGGGGTATCAAAGTTTGACATGGGAATAGATAGGAAAAAATCATCCTTTAATGAACAACAAGGTAATGATTTACTCATAATTTAATGCAAGCATCCTCAAGTAGTGAAGATCAAGTTGGTCTAAATCATGGGCCAGACCTAATATTATACCGGTAATAATATTAAAATATTTCTTATTTGTATTTTTTTCCACTTTTTTCTTCTTCAAATAAATCTGAGAAAAGATTTAATATATAAATTGGTAAATGCATGTATACATGTGATAAAAAAACTTAAGAAAACATATAAGCCATGTTAGCCATGTTGATAATGAAATATCCTCATGTTGTGGAATCAGTTTTGGATTATACATGGCTTTATGACCCCAGGGTGGGGCCACAGTATTGGCTCAAAGTTTTTATGAGAATTAAGGGGGATAAGAATGTCTTGGAAATCTGAAGAACACCAAGGTGACTCAACTGAACATTGTGGGCCAGGCCTCTTATTTAAATTGCACATTTTCATTCCACCTGCAGATTTTTAACATCTTCTTTGGCATATTTTTTAAGGAGAAAATTATTTTTCTAACATTAATTTAGCTGTGTTTTGTACACACCATAGAGTAATACTTTAGATATATCTGGGCTTTCATATTAAGTGCTATTTTTAGATCAAGAGGGAGTCTCTTTAATTCTATTTTTAACACATTGCCATGTGGTTGGGACTACTTTCATGGCTAACATTTTCTTGTTGAACTAACATGTATGCATTTAAAGAATTGTACCTATTGTAGTGAGTTTACGTTTAAAACAAAGGTTTTTCACAAATAGTTGTAGCCACTTAATTGGTTTAACTATTTCATATTTTTTTGGATTTTTTGGTGCACTACTAAAACCTGTGGCTGCGCATTCCTGCAGGTATATTGTGCACTTCATAGCTGCAAACTGCTGCAAGTGTCAATTAAGCTGCATATACCCAGAGATTGTTTTCATTATGAAGATGACATGGACAAGTTTTCAAGTGCTAGCAAGGCTTAATTTTTGAGATATTAAAGTTTTTATTTTTAGTGAGTCTCACTTGGCTGCACACAAAACCAAACCCTTAAGACTTTTTTCGTTTACTAGATCTTGACCTTAAAAGATTTATGGATGACTTGAAAATGAGTGTCGAAAGTAACGCCATAACAACGTCGGGTAACATTCTAGCACTGCGGCGATAAAAAAGACCTTACTCTGTGTTTGTGTTAATATTTTAAAAAGTATTGCATATACCTAAATCAAATTTTAAGGCAAAAGTGAAAGAAGATAAATATATAAGTATATAATTTTTTGTTGATAACTTTTGATTTTTAAAAGATTTTATGGAGGTTGGTTCAACCCTTGTACACATACTAGTACTTTTATTCACTATACCCCCCTGCTTGAAAAGTGGGGGGGGGGGTATATATAGTGATCGGGATGTCCGTCCGTCCGTTACGCTTCGGGGTACACATCTCTTATCCGCAACTCCTCCAATACCACTCAATAAAAGATGGGCGAACAAGGCGAGCGCAGTCCTATAGTGCAACAAACATGTAGGTGAAAAATTAAATCTCAATTATAGCAAAATTTTCTTTGATATTTCATCTAAATTTAAAGTATACTTTATGTAAAATCTACACAATTTGCATAAATCTCACTAAGATTGAAATTATTTGCCTATGAAATAGCATACACACACTAGAGAGGGCAAAAAGGATCATTTTCTCATTATAAAACACAATTTTTCGATATGAATGGGTCTTCGCTCCATATTTTTCAAAGTCTATCTTCAAAGTTTGCGAAAAAATATACATTTTCTGGTCAACAAAAACATGGAGCAAAGATCCACTATACTTTACAAATACACTTTTATGACACAACATTCGCATCTTTTCGAAAAATAATTGAAGTCCATTTAGTCAAGGGTCATATCCTAAACATGATTTAAATGCCACAATTCAAGAGCTGTGTAGCGTAACGTCTCAAAGGAACGAGATAACTGTTTATTTACGTTTGTATTTGTTGTTGTATGCTGATGATACAGTTATTTTAGCAGAGTCAGCTGCTGAACTGCAAGCTTCTTTAAATGCAATGTACTTGTACTGTCAAACTTGGAAGATGCAAGTTAATTCTCTTAAAACAAAAGTGTGTTATTTTTTCTCGCTCTAACATGAACACTGATAATTTACATTTTACTTATAATGGTGATAGACTAGAAATTGTTAGAAACTTTCAATATCTTGGAATAATTTTTTCTAGTAAAGGTACTTTTAATGACGCAAAGTCACATCTGGTACAACAAGCCAGAAAAGCTATGTATATTGTTCTTAGAAAATCCAGGAAATTAAATTTACCTATTGATATGCAACTGCAACTTTTTGACACCATGGTTGTTCCTATTTTGTTGTATGGTGTAGAAATATGGGGTTTTGAAAACTGCAGCATTTTAGAATCCTTTCATATGGAATTTTGTAAAAAAAAATTTGAAAGTTAAAAAGACTACTCCTCATTGTATTGTTTATGGAGAGCTGGGTAGAATACCACTTAGTATATTAGTAAAGTCTAGAATGGCTGGTTTCTGGCAAAGGATTTTGTGTGGTAAAAATGAGAAAATTTCCTTCACATTGTACTCAATTTTGTATCAATTTAGCTCAAAAGGTTTTTACCATTCAAAATGGCTCATGGAAATTAAGAATATTTTACATGATTGTAATTTGGATCTAATGTGGAATGCTCAGTATGTTGATAAATCATGCAAAATTGGTGTGTTGGTTAAGAATACATTAAGAAATAGTTTTATCCAAGACTGGAATGTAAATGTATTAAATTCTCCAAAATGCCTTAATTATAGAATGTACAAGTGTGATTTTGGTTTTGAAAATTATCTAAACATGTTACCAAATGATCTAAGATTATATTTATGTAAATTTCGTTGTGTCAGTCAAAACTTGCCAATTGAAGCTGGTAGATTTTATAGTATTGATAGATCTGAGAGACATTGTAACCTCTGCAATAACAATGAACTTGGTGATGAGTTTCATTATTTATTTAAGTGTCCTTTTTTTAAGAATGAAAGACAGAAATTTATACCTAGCAATATTTACACAAATCTAAACACAATATCTTTTTATAATTTGATGAATACTTCTGATATATATGAACTAATAGGTTTAGCTAAGTTTTGTAAAACTGTTCTTAAATTATTTCATGCCTGAACTTCCTGTAAACGATTTTTTTTTATACAAACGTCAGTACTGTCCATATCAAAGTTCTTTTTGTGGTTCATTATGTTAACTGTTCACATGTTGATTTGTTCAATTGTTAAACTCTTATTGTACTAACATACCCCATGTGGGGGCTTTAGTGAAAATAAAAGTTTCAAAAAAGTTTCAAAGTTTCAAAGGAAAACGGTTCTCAAGATTTTTATTGATTAGGGTTCGAATCCCATGAATACCACATTATTTTTTTAATTCCAGAATAATTTTTGCTGAGAAAATTTTCCTCAGAAAAGTTCTGTTTATCATAATTTCACAAATTTCAATAATGAGAACTTTACTCTAAATACTAAATTCATAAATTGATTATGATTTTTATATATCTGAAGCTATAGGCATTCTGCGCGCCTTGTTCACCCATCTCCTTAAATGATCCTTTCACAGAATCTTTGCTAAACAGTACCATTGTGCACCTCCTATTTCACTTTTTGATCGGACACATATTTCGGGTTTCCAATAGCAAAACATAGACTTTGCCATTATAATCTTCTGGGAGGCGGAGGTATCATTTTGTGAGCTCATTGATCACGGTACCTCTATAGTTTTCCTGTAGAACTGTTTTCATTTTCCCCGTTTCACAAATTCTGAACTTATTAATTATGTGAATTTAATGAATTTGGTATTACACTAAACATGACCAACTTATGACAAGACCTTGACAAATAAAAAAAATCAAGTATTACATTTATAATTTCATTTTGTACGTGATGACTTGGTATTACACTAAAAATGACCACTTGTGACAAGACTCGATCCTAAAGTTTGATTCGACATTGTTATTATCTGTTCTCTCCATATCACTTATAACGAGTATAAGTGGAAGCTGTACGTGTAGTTTGTAAGAAATAGTAAGGAAAATATAAAATGTAATTTAGTAGTTTCCTTTAATTTTGATTCAAGTTTCCGAAGATGGAACATGATGCAAGGTTTGAGTTTGCTGCTGAACACTTGTTTGGAATATGTAATGTTTAGCATAGGAAAGAAAATCAAAGCCCAACATCGGTTAAATATATATATATATATATAAAAATGTACACGTAGGAATATATTTATTAAGAGAATGTCAAATGATAAAAAAAGAAATAACAAAAATGAGTTTCAATATAAATGTACAATAAATTGTTCGTAATTATTTCCAAATGTTTTCAGTCATATGAAATACGCAGGCTTTTTAACGTTGATGCCGTATTCCGCAAGAGCCGGGGTTAGATCGTCCATCGTCAGTGTTAGTTTCTTGTCCTGAAATTTACATCACATTATGATAATATGATAATATTTTAATTATGATATTTATTGCAATATCGGTACTTTTGTAGTGCTTTAAATCATCTGAACAATTTTGATCATACCTTTCCTTTGTTCTTCGACTGAACAGATCCTTTCATTTTGCAGTGTTGTAGGGCATCATTTGCTATGTCAGAAATGAACTTTTGGGCTGCTATAGAAATGAGTCGTGTTCTGAAAAGTTATAAATACATAAATACATGTATAATTGCGATGTTACCACGAAGGAAAGATAACTCTAACTAAGCATACTTACACTCGAGGGTCTGAGGCTTCAAAACCTGCGCGATTCAGATAAAACGCTGTCACAGAATCTGGAATCTGAAGAAAAATAATTTAAAACTAGAACTGTCCAATAGGGACAAATACCCCCCGCTGGGTTTTTCAGAGAAAGTACCAAATCACTAATGTTTTCTAGATGTGAGAGGTGTTCACAATTTCCTTAAACATTTCCAGTGAAAATTTAATTACTCATTATATTTTTTATATGTCCGTCTTAAGACGGGACGTATTATGTTATAGCGTTCATGTCCCTCCGTCCGTCTGTTAGCTTTTTCATGTCCGGCTTATTATTTAGTCTTATTTTTTTCATTATGTTCTTTACAGCAATCTGTAACAAGAAAAATTCCACCTCTCCCATGGGTGTAATGATCAGGCACTGGTCAAGGAAAATTTTGATAGCAGAAAATTGCATGTCAAATTAGAGATAAATTAATGAGTTTAGTGTGAGGTGATAACTGGCAGAGCATCTCTGATCAAGCAGGTGTTATCTACATCTCTTGGGAAATGGGCAAAAGGAATCAGTCTCTTAATTAATTGCTTGTGTTGTATTGAATTGTTCTTGTTGGCTAGTCTTACTTTCAAGATAAATTTGATGTAATTAAAACTAATTTGATATTGTTTATAATAATTAAAACTTATATGATATTGTATAATATAATTTAAACTAATTATTTATTGTACATTTTTTATTTGAATTTTTATATCTTTACAACAAATTGCAGACTGCCTTGTCTCACTAAGATGTCATTCGACCAATTGAATCTAAACTGATTATGATAATTTAACAATATTTGATGGGCGTATAATGCTGTGGTGGGGCACTTTATTTTAATGAATGAAACTAAGGTGCAGCCTAATAAAATATCAACACTAATAATTACAGTGTTTTTTATTACATTGAAAAAATAGTTTGCAACTATCTGTCATCTTTGTGAGACATGACACTCTGCAAATTGATTGTTGAAAAAAAAAAATATCATAATTAATTATACAAAATCAAATTGATTTTAATACCTTTATATCAAACTCATTTTAAAAATAAAAGGCTGGTTTTAGTAACTATGTATTTTGACAGACATAAATAACAATTAAGAGACTTAGACAACAGAGATCTTTATTTCTTTCTGCCCAATTCCCCGGAGATATAGATAAGACCTGCCTGATCAGAGATGCCCTAACAGCTTCCCACACTGAACTCATTAATTAATCTTTAACTGGATGCATGTCCACTCATTACTCCCAAGGGACAAATGGATTTACACTATCTGCTGTGTAATGTAAAAACTGTTTTTAATACTTTGTGGGTTTTTTTTTAGTTCTAATGAGTAGTTTTAAGCTGTAGTTCACATTTTTGTACAGATGTTCTAGATTCTATGTCTCAAACCTTAGACATGAACCCGAAATGACTAAGTCAATAAAAATTTTTAAAAAACACCTGTAAAATGCAGAAAAATTATCAAATAATGTTGAAAATACCAGGTGCACATCTTCATATGGTAAATAATAAGTGTACAAATTTTCATACAAATCTATGCAATAGTTTCTGGGAACAGATCCAGACAAAACCACATAATAAAAATGAAAAAACACCTGTAAAATGCAGAAAAATTACCCAATCATAATGAAGATACCAGGTGCACACCTTCATATGACGAATAATAAGTGTACAAATTTTCAGACAAATCCTTCCAACAGTTTCCAAGAAATGGTCAGGACAAAATCTCGTCTACAGACAGACGGACAGACGGACAGACAGACGGACAGACAGACGGACATGTTGATTCCAATATACCCCCCCTAAACTTCGTTTGCGGGGGGTATAATAAAAAGGAGTGTAATACATACTGCATACTTCTAATGACTTTTTAAAGAATAATTACTATTAACTTTGTGAGATGATAACAGATGAAAAGTACAAAAGGGGGGAGGGGTAATAGATAATGTTTCTTCATGAGAAACTCTAAACTATACTTAAAAGATTTAATAACAATTTCAGTTAATCTAGAATAACAAACAAAACTGATAATTTAATTTTGTAATTTAATGAATTATATTATTTAATAAAACTGATAGACAAAAGCATTTTAAGGGGACATACGAAATGTGTATATTTTTCTGTTTATTTTCTCATATCATTTTAAAATGTAAAATACGCCCTGCAAATATCAAACAGTCCTTGACAATTACACATACCGTAGGGGCATAATCCTCTAATTGCTGAACAAAGTCGGTAAGGGGAACCCCCGCCGTCCTATCGTGGGTGGGCGTGGCAGAGGACGCCGTGGTGGGAGTGGCACCAGAGATCGCAGATCCCCCACTTAACTGACCGGTATCATCTAAAAATACAAGACACATTACAGAGTTTTTAATTGTGAAAGTTCCAAGCATTATATTTGGATGAAGAAATCTTCTTTTTTGAAAGTTGTAAAAAAAAATCAGTGTCGTTCGAGTAAGTTACTTGTTGAGTTTGCAACATTCTACCTCTAAGGTCAGACTTTTTTGTATTTTGCAAGGAGTAACACGATGTTTGTAACAATAAGAGTACAACAGCTATACAATGGCTATGGTTGCATGTAATAAAATAGCCAGTCTCCCACCAAGCGATTACTCCTGTTAGGTGTATGAGATATATGTACCAGCTGGTTTGTATTACATGTACTACCACACCGTTTAAAAATCAAGTTCTACACTTACTTTTAAACATGATGCTTCTTTCAGAACTGCGTAATTAGATTCTTTATGTACTATATGATAAATGTCACTTAATTATATAAAATGCCGTAAGCGTCACAGTATATTCTATAATTACTGTCTAGCGGATTCAGCAGGATAGGTGAAAATTGTACATGTACATCTAGATCTAGTATGTAATAATGTCTGTTGATACAGAAATCAAGATCGAACTCCATTTTCAGTCAACCAACTTATATATAGATGCCAGGAAAGGACCATGCTAGGGACCTATGGTAATTCAGACAATATCAATGGTCAATCCCAGCCCTTCATTATATATGGTACATGTTTGGAAACTTGTTAAATAACCAATGTACAGTAGAAATATTCTCAGCATTTTATTGAAATTAATAAACAATACAATTGTAGAATACACAACAAAAGTTTTTAACTCCATAGAAAAGCTGCTTAAAAAGTCTTTTGGGTGATGCTATAAAACACCAGTATTGAAAAATGATAACACATTACAGTAACTTATTTACACAGCTTTAAAAATCTGCACAGATCTGATAATTTATACCACAGTTTTTTCTTAGCAATGATGTTACAGCCGCTTTATAAAGATCTTAAAAGTAAGACCACCTTAAATAGTTCCTTTACTTATTACAGGTGCTTTGTTCTTCTTAAATTTTAAGGTTATCTGACCCTTTGTTTACAAAGAGAGATAACTCTTTCATTGATACATCACTGTGTCTCCTTTACAATTTGACAATATTTTGCCCTGTATGGTTACAGTAAATATGCTTTTCATCTCTACTTCTGCTAAAAAATTGTCATACTTGCACAAACATTTTTAGTTCTAGTAAGTAGACGGTCGTTTACCCCTAAAATATTAAATTTCAAAATTTAAATTTTAAACCTAAATTTGATCTGAAACCAGTGTTAGAACTCGGAGGTAAAAATGTAACAGAAACATATCATTAACATTCACAAATTTGCTGCAAAAAATGAAAATGAGCAAAAAATTTTGAGGAAACTGAAAACTTTTGTTCTTCAAAGACTGATTCTAAAAAGCAAACATAACACATTAACACAACACAACGAATAAACACTAACATGTATATGATATGGTGCATGCAACTAAAAATATCACTAGAAGAATATAATGACTAGCCTAAATAAAACTGTTCGTAACCGTTATGTAAAGTGGAGCCTCGTTAATCCGGAGCCAATAATCCAAACACTAAATCTTGTGGAAGAAGTTCATGGGGAACAATTTATATAAAGTATGTTTGCGTAAACAGGACTCTTAATTAATCTGGATGAGGGACACAAATGTCTGGATTAACAAGGCACGACTGTATATGTATATAGGGCTATAAGTTAGCTTGATACTTGGTAATGCTTAGGGTTATGCTTTTGGGAAAGAGTATATGCCTATTTTCAGTACTTTTATTTATTTCAAAAAATTGAAATTATAAACCATTTTGTTTTCAATAAATAATAGTCTATACCAGTAAGACAGTGAATCAAACTTTTTTAAAAAATTTGAATATTATTTTAATTATTTATTGGAAAGGGTTTTTTTTTTGTATTATCAGGAAACATTATACATTTATTGACTGGGTTTGAGGCCAACATGTGTTTTGTTGGACCCAAGAACCAAACTTTTTGTCTGAGGCCGTTGGCAAACAGTTTGATTCAAGGGGTCGACAAAACGCATTTTTACCGAGAACACAGTCAATAAATGTTTTGTTATACCTTTTATTTTTTGACATACATATATCTTGTGCTGGCTTCCATATTGTAAATTTTCTTTACCCGCAATGTCACTCAATGAATGCAAATATAAAGATATAGTTGATCCTGCATGCACTACTGCAGGTTTAAGACAGTGTGATGTAAGCAGTCCAGTATCTCATCGACAGGTCCAATATCTCACTCCACGGTCAAACATCAATTTTTTTATGACCACTCAGTAAAACATTGATAATGTTAGACTTCTTTAGTATAGATTTATATAGGAAGCAATTCTTAAAGGTATAATAAAATATTTTGATGAACTGTATAATCTACTTAAGTACAGCAGCTGACTTGTAGCCTTATAACATTTAACACAATTTCACTTCTATTAAATAAAACTTACTACATAAAATACAAGCAAAATACACAGATCATATAATAAAATAATCATATAATAATAAAATATTTGTGTATAATACATTGTAAATATATGTATTATTTGTAGACATAAAATGGCAAGACAATTGATGGCTATTATAGGGACTAGAATATTGCTATAGTGTAAATAAACAATACAAATAACAACCACTCAGATATAAATGTGTGCCTCCTTTGTACAACTTTACAAAAAAGATTTTCATACTTTAATTGAAAAATTTCAAAAGCCGTCAAAGTTTCAGTTAATCTTCAAACTTGATATGATTGAAAAGAAGGAACAATTTAATCTAAAACTGGATATCGATATCATCATCAGTACAAATGACATTATCTGATGCAATACATGTACACTGTAGACACTCTTGTACATACACATCCATTTTTAGAGGCTTAGTCTACATTAAAAGATTGCAGTAAAAAAAACATAGGTAATCAGAGATTACAGAGCTCACCTCAACGAATGTTGTCTTTAAGTAAGGCAAAGTCCCACACTAAACTAATAATGAGTGTGCATCCCTAGATGCAACATTTATGCAATTTTGGTCTGATAGGGCTTGGGAATAGACTTATCTGAAAACTTAAAACTAGTCACTAGTCACAGAAAATGTAAGTCAAATCCAGCATCCGAAGCAAGTTTTGAGATTGTTCGTCCCTTGATGCATCATCCATGCAAGTTTGGTTCAGATAGGCCTTATAGTTACTTGGAAATGAGATCTGCTCCAAAAACTTTAACCTGGTTACTCATCTGGAAAATGTAGGTCAGATCCAGCATCCGAAGCAAGTCCAGTACTGTGAATCCTTAGATGTATTATCCATGCAAGTTTGGTCAATATAGGGTTTATAGTTACTTGGAAATGAGATCTGCTCCAAAAACTTTAACCTGGTCACTCATCCGGAAAATGTAAGTCTAATCCAGCATCCAAAGCAAGTCCAGTAGTGTGAATCCTTAGATGTATCATCCATGCAAGTTTAGTCAATATAGGGCTTATAGTTACTTGGAAATGACATCTGCTCCAAAAACTTTAACCTGGTCACTCATCCGGAAAATGTAAGTCAAATCCAGTATCCGTAGCAAGTCCAGTACAGTGCATCCTTCGATGTATCATCCATGCAAGTTTAGTCAATATAGGGCTTATAGTTACTTGGAAATGACATCTGCTCCAAAAACTTTAACCTGGTTACTCATCCAGAAAATATAGGTCAGATCCAGCATCCGAAGCAAGTCCAGTAGTGTACATCCTTAGATGTATCATCCATGCAAGTTTGGTCTATATAGGGTTTACAGATACTTGGAAATGACATCTGCTCCAAAAATTCAACCTGGTCACTCATCCATAAAATATAGGTCAGATTCAGCATCCGAAGCAAGTCCAGTAGTGTGCATCCTTAGATGTATCATCCATGCAAGGTTGGTCAATATAGGGCTTATAGTTACTTGGAAATGAGATCTGCTCTAAAAACCTTAACCTAGTCACTCATCCGGAAAATGTAGGTCAGATCCAGCATCCGAAGCAAGTTCAGTAGTGTGCATCCTTAGATGTATCATCCATGCAAGTTTGGTCAATATAGGGCTTATAGTTACTTGGAAATGAGACCTGCTCCAAAAACTTTGACCTGCTCCAAAAACATTAACCTGGTCATTCTTTAGCTGAAATTGCAGCATCTGAAACCTTGACTGGTACAATAAAACACACTACAAGCATCCTCCATGCATCTCTAACTAATATAGGCCATAGAAGTACTTGAAAAGAAAACTGCTCCAAAAACCTTAACCTGGGATGCCGACGCCGAGGGTATTACATAAGCTCCCCCAACTTCGTTGAGGTGAGCTAAAAACTAAATCAGAAGCGAAAAAAAAAAAAAAAATGAAATTGTAAATCTTTAAATGCCAGATCTGGTATGTGAGCACAGGTATATATCATGCACTACTGCAGGTTTAAGACATACATCTGTCCCCCTAAATAACTGGGGATGTTTAAGACATGCATATGTCCCACTACATAACTGAGGATTTCCATGTCAGATCTCTTGTGGGATTATATCTCTAAATTATAATGGATTTTTAATCAGACCTGAATTATCTCCCATGATACAGACTGACAAGAGTGGAAAATGTCAAAACATGTCCCAGAGGGCATATGTTATCTAACTACGCTCACAAATGTCAACTAAATTCCAACCATCCCAGTCAAACAAACTATTTACATCTCCTCGGAATCCAAAACTTATTAATCAAGACTGAGGCGCACATGTCAAATGTTAAACTTATTAGAAAGAAAGAGTTTCAAGTTTGTGTTTCTTGCAAATTTGCTTCCTCACTCAAGTATTTGTTAAAATCCAATCCTGCATGGGTTTTTGTTCAAAAGTAGCAGTAAATACATAATATAAAAGCATGCTTAATTTGTAAACATTAAAACTATAACTCTGTTCAAAAATTCAAAAAGCATTGACATGCATGATTGTAACTGATATTTGAATCACTGTCCATTTGATGAGGGTAAATCAGGTACTTCCATGGAAAACTGAGGTTCAACATATCCATCCATTGTGTAGATTTTCTTTTTTGATTCAGAGAGAGGGGGGATTCCAGCCTTTGACTCCCATTCATGGACAATCTCCTGATCTGACGGACAGGTTTTACGGAAAGTGTCGTTTTCATATGCCCTTTTTAGGTATTGCCAAAGGCCGACCATATCATCTGGGATTTCAAAATCTTTGAATGCTTTTGCAGCTACTCGAATATGCTGAAGCTTTGGCAACATTAAACAATCAAGATGACAGAGCTCATCCCTGCACATGAACTTATGGGTACTGGTTTCTAAATAGTCATTTATTGCTTGCAATTCTTTCAAGAGGGCCTCTGGTCCATGACTGACTTGCTTAATGTAATAGGAAAACTTGGCAAAGACATCCAAACACACACTATGTGCAATCATGTTGTCGTACTTCAGAGAAGGATAAGGGAAATGTTCATCAATGTACTGTAGAATCTCATCATTATCTATCAGAATTTCATCATTATGTCTGAGAACTGGAAGACGATTAGCAAATCGTTTGAATTCTGCAGGTGGCCTGGCCATGTTGATGGTTATGACATCGTAAGTTAAGGTTCCATGCTTAGCCTTGATATCCAGAATCATGTAAAATCTCTGGCAGAATACGTTGGCTCCATAACTCTCTCCGTCTTTACCAGCCTTCACGTAAAGTTCCACATGATTGGAGGGCAGAGAATCGGACTGCCCATTCATGATGAAAAAATTTCCCCAACAAGCACAATTTCCTGTATAGACTTAATAAGATTTCTAAATGATATCACTTGAAGGATGCAATTCTAAGAATTTCTTTCTGGAAGCACTCAGCATTAGAGATCCTGTGTCACCATTTCACAGAGATGATAACTCAACCTACACCTGTAGAAAAGACGAAAACAGGGTTAAGTGGTCATTCATGTGAAATGTTACAGAAGACAGCCAATAAAAAAGGATTTAAACCGGAAAAAGTCAATGCTACTGCCACCTAGTAAAACTATGCATTCATTACAACTTAATTTAGCTACCCTGAAGACATATTTTATCATTCAAAGGATAAGAAAGTTTGCTGAAGATAAACATTGTAATTTGGTGACATTCCATAAACTCATGGCATTTTGCCATTTTTGTGTCTGCTGGTCTGGCCCCTCAAATAATAACAATTCTGACTGCTATGTAGACAATTTTACACACCTCCAGACAACAAATAAATGGAACTGATGAACTGATGCTGTACACTAACAATTTAAAGTACAAAAAGCCAGGAAATCTCAAAGCCAAAACATGAAAGAGCAATTATAGTAATAGTACTTCAATTTACATGCACAAGAATGCCCTTAGACCCTCCGATATTATTTTACAAATAAAATTTGAAACTCCATCAAACACAGGAAGCCAATCAAACAAACAAGTGCCACATCTGACGAGTTCCACAACGCTGCTGCTGCGTTTTCTTTTTCTCCTACAAATGTGAGGAGTCATGATCAGCTGTTGTAGCAAACAACACATCTCTGTCCATCAAAATATTCTCATAATATAAGCATGACCAAGCATACATTGAACTTCTGCAATGTATGCAATGTGATTATCACTAAATTAGCCATATCTTTTTTTTTTTTTTTACATTGGGATTTTAAAAAGAAAAGCTATTTTATCTTGACCATGATAAGGGCCATTTACATAGTTTCACTTTATCTTAATGAGATGGATCTTAAGGTGTAACATTTGAGTCATATCAATGTTTGACTGTTGATTTTACACAGTTTACGTTTTAAGATTGCTGGGATAACAAACATTAACTCCTTAGTTAACTGCATTTCTTTCTTTTTTGTTTATGGTCTCGCAAATAAAAAAAAAAAACATAGCTGCTGGAAAAATTGTTCTCTTGCTAAAACTTAAGTCAGCACAAAGGTAAACATGTCTTCTCCTACTTAATGAATTACAGGGTTTTTTATCAGTAGAGAGTAATGAGGGGGATGTTTTGACAATCAGCTATGACCACTTCTAGCCTGATATAATATACACACAACAAACACAATCACTGTAGTATCTACAAGGAAAATCAATACAGTGTCTAGAGACTCAGAGAGGCAAATGTTTCCTTTTAAATACAGCAGCTGGGCAGACAAGGAGTTAGGGCTAGTGTATTAAACAGCCATTGAAAGCAAATCAATCAATTCAAAGGAGCAGGGTGCACACCACTGCTTAATTGCTTACTGCTTAATTTGCTCCAGAGAGGAGCATTAGGCCACTGACAATACTCATCTCAGAATGCACAAAACTTTCTTGTTCAGATGACAAGTTTCCAACCTAACTGGTCCAACTTTGTCAGAAACCTATGGTCAATCTAGCTCATGTTTTATATGACAATACTTATCTCAGAATGCACAAAACTTTCTTGTTCAGGGGACAAATTTCCAACCTAACTGGGCCAACTTTGTCAGAAACCTATGGTCAATCTAGCTCATGTATGTATGCCAGAGTGACTTTGGGTTTTGGGCGATGATTGACCAACAAAAAATGACACAAATCTTTGAGAAAAAAAAAAAATATTGCAAATGACATATTCCAGTCTATCAGACAGCAAAGAAAAATATTCTCTCAAGAGAGAAACAGAGATGGTGATTCAGTCAGATTTGGCAACAAATAAGATACAACTCAATGAAATTCATGGCAAACTCAGTCTCTGACAGACACAAGTAACAGGGATACACTCCTATACATGCTAAAGCAATCTGTAAAATCAATACACACTCTGGTACAAAAATAGCTTTGAGCAATAAACACAGATCAATATCAAATATTAATCATACTTCTACATTTACTTACAAAAAGAAATAAGAAAATCCTACAGTTTTCATAAATTGGAATATTCCAGAAAACAATTGAAAGAAAATGGAGACTTACTGTGTCTTGAATCTGCATGAAGTGGTAAGAGTTTAAAACTCCTACAGTGTTGCGGAGAAACTGGGACACACCCAGCCCAGTGTAACTACCTGTTCAACACTGCGGCCTTCCCTCCTTATCAAATACAGGTATATATATATATATATATATCTATCAATTTCTCTCAGTCTATCAATCAAATAGACGCACTACTCCAGTCACATTCAAACAGGCACACATGAACTAATTCATGTAATATAGACGTAATGTACATGTACCGATACTGAGGGTAAACTGCTACACACAGGAGTCCTATGAATGTCAAGAAGTGTTCCTCACTAAATCCCTCATCCCTACTGCGTCTCTCTGATGTATTAATCTGTTAATGTCTGATGGATGTCTGCTCTCAGTGGCTGCAATGCTCTGTCAGTGAAAACTGCATGTGCAGTGCTCCAGAATTCACCAATCTATAATTAGACACACACCACCAATAGTCCACTCCTCTCTCTTCTCTTTCTACTCCTTCTGGCCAATCTCCCCTTTGTAATAAAATACTGGGCTGTGTGTTTATTATATTTATACACAAACATGTTGTGATTTGTGATAAATTAGACCCAATAAAAAAAAATACATATGCAAGACCACAGATCTTTTTTGGATTTGAATCTAAAAATATACATGTTTTATTCATGAGCATGTCCTCTATGCACTTTTCATAAAATCAAATGACATTAACTTTAATGAATGTATCATACAATTTCCTAAATCTGTCTCATACGGTACAAATATGGTCTGGCAATTAATTTCATAGGCCAACACCTTAACCTCAATTCTCACGCAAGCTCTCGTTTATAACCACCTACAATCTTACACCTCCACTTAATATTCTATCACTAATTCTGGATCTGTTTACCTACTTACGTGGTATATATTGAGGTAAAAAGTTACAACAGATTACTTAAGTTTGAGTCAAATCAATGCCAATCAAAGGGGGACATTTCTCAATGAGTCTACAAACATACTGGTGTTTGTCTGGAACATTCCTAAGTAGTGGGGAGGGGTTATAAATTCCTCCAGAAAATGCTTATACACCCCAATCTTTACATGTCTTATCTAGGAGCAAACCAGGTACCTCCATAAAGAATTTACACAAGGGAGTTGGCAGTTAATCAAAGATCCCAATAACACTTTGACAGGACTAAGATTGAGTAAATATGGTGGGCAGATCTGATCAGAAATATGGAACCTAAAACTGATATTAAAATTCACATTCAATCTAATGAACATGTAAAGAAAGCTTAAATTGTATATATACCGTATATACTCGCCTATAAGTCGGTCTTTTGGGAGTTAAATTTTAGTCCTATACTCTATGTCCGACTTAAAGGCGAGTCATAAAAAGGTTAGTATTTTTCTGGACGGCAAAATGTAGTATTTCATAAACATTTCCAATGATTATCGTTGAACAAAGTCTGGAATATATCATATCAATTATGTATTCTAAGATTATACATAAAGTACAAGTTTTTACATATTTTAATAACTTTATCTTTATCTTAAGTGTGCATTATGTATTTTTCTTAATGATTTAAATTTAAATATCGGCGTCATTTCTAAAAATATTAATCGAAACCAGGTTTAAACATTAGAGCATTAATTTGAAAATGCAAACTGACTCTGGCAAAAAGTTGTACCGACTTATAAGCGGGTCAATGGCAAATCCCTCCAAAATAACCTCAAAAAATACAACCAACTTATAAGCGGACCGACTTATAGTATATACGGTAACTATCTATTTGTTTCATTTGTAACAGCATAATTAACTTTAAAAAGTATTTGTTCTGATACATAAAAAGTTGCTTGTACATGAATTTCAACCGAGGCATACTGATTAACAAAACTTTAAATTATCAGTAAGAAAATTAATTAAATAAAATAAGATTAGAATATACATGTAATCAAAGAATCTGTAAACAAAATTTTCATTTGGGAACAAGAAAAACAAGGCTCTAAATCATGTTGATTTGCGTCTTGACAAATCAGTATTTCACCGTGAAATGATTATAATTTTCAATTTCTGTCCATGACAGACTGTATAAAACATAGAACTCATGCCTATGATTTACCTCTTACCACCGCCATTTTACAACCACTGTGTCTGTCTGTTCATTTGTCCGTTATAAAATTATGTCTGAGCAATAGTGATGGGAGTGAATTCAAACTAGTAAATTATATTGGTGCTCATGTCTAAAGAATTTTAAGATTTCATCTTTTAAAGGTTAAAGTCAATGGCTGTAAAAATGTTCAAATAATGCTTGGGGTCTTTTAAATCTGTGACTTAAATGAATTCAAATTTGTTGCTGATGATCCAGTGGTGAGCTATAATTTTAAATTCAATGTCTTGACTAAAAGTTGCTGATAAAGATTATTATCTTAAATAAGAGGAACATGGGCCACAACACTCACCTGAGCGCTTTGGCTAGAAAAAAGCAGAAATCAGTTCAGTATTGAAAAGTTTAAATATTGAAGTGGTCCTAACCTACTTCTTTGAACAAACTTGAATCTACACTATCTGAGGATGCTGGAATTTCTTCCCTATTTCTTTGACCAATCATAGCTTTGGAAGATTTTTAAAGATATTTTCTAATAAGTTTAATCTTCTATTGTGGCCCCGCCCTATCCCTGGGATCATGATGTGAACAACTGGAATCTACACTACCTGAGGTTGCTTCCACAGGGATCGATACTAACTTTAAAACCACAGTCACCTGCTGGGCTAGGGATTTCTAATTTCTACTAGCCCTGATCATGAATTAGTTGTCCAGCAGCCAAAGAAGCGACGAGGGGGGTAGGTGCAGGAGGGGGTTCCCCCTCCTGCTGGATCAATTTTAAAAATTGAGATGCCAAATCCAGCATTCTGGCTATATTTTGGGGTAAAATTATATGTCATTTCATGACCGAACCAAAGACGTTTATTCCACATAATATTACTGTACAGTCATTTAGGATATTCTGAATCACCTTTTATATTTTGACTGCAAACATTCTGATTAAAGAATTATAACTGGTTATTTGGTATTAAAGAAAAGTCAGGTATATGAGAAATCAGATCTACATTTCAAGGCAAGTCCATCTTTGATACAGTGAACTTAATATTTACTGCACCTTTTTAGTGTACATGTATTGCGGGTCACTTTGGGGTATTTTGCATCACAAAGAAAACAGGTAGAAAACGACAAGAAAATAACATTGTGATTTTTTATTTGGTATTGTTTAAGAAAAATCTCCAAAAATAAAAAGAATAATCCACTTATTGATTTTTACTTGTTGATTTTAATTCAAGTTAATTACACCCCCCCTTATGCATGCACTGTTGCAAAATAGCGTTGCCAGAAGCGTATCATGCAGAATAGCAATTTCCAACAAAGTAATGGCCACAGAAATTACTTGATTGTAAAACGTTGTTCAGTTAATATACATGTAATTATTTCATTTAAAAAAAAATATTGTGAAGTTTTATTTCAATGCAAAACAATTAACAAGGAAAATGAAATATGAATACTCCTATACTCATACTCCTCGTAGGCTACAAAAAATAATATGATAATAACTAGAGCGAGCTCGTTGCAAAGCAACGAATAGGTCTTCCGTTTGAGCTGCGGAAGGAAGAAGTGACCTTGAGTCAAGGTCATGCAACATTCTAAAGTTATACATGTAAGCAATCTTGTAAGGGGAAGCAACTTATATTTCGCTAGGAAAAACTGTAAAGGAATGTACGTGACCTTGAACATTCCAAATGACCAAAATGACAAGCCATGTCACACTCTCGTCATAAAACCCAATCTGTGTGTTACCGACTTTAAAAGTTCACAGCTAGTGACACGCCATGTTCTTTTAGTCCATACATACAGTCAAAACATCTTATCCTTAGTGACCTTGAACTTGAGTCAAGGCCATGTCACACTCTGCATGATACCAGCAATGTTTCACTAGTACAAATACGGTAGCGAAATTACAGTTTCTCTGTCAGTGACCTTGACTCGACCAAATGACCTTGCATCAAGACCATAACACACACTGGTTAAGAGCAATCCCAGTCTGAGTTTCTGAATGGATAAGTTCAGCCATGTTTTTTCAGACCATACAGCGAGTCGGAATAATTTGTTAGGTTCAACACAATGATTTAAAAATTCATTGAGAATGTTTTATGCTCAGTTTGGATAAGTAGTAAAACGTGGAGATCGGTCCTTTGGATGAGACCGTATAAGGTCTCGTGTCGGGGTAAGTGCTAGCATGAGTGATCTCATGCTATAAATTTTGAATTTACCGGGTGGCAGTAAATACAAAATTTACAACATGACATGTAAATTTTGTATTTACTGACAACAGGTAAGTTCAAAATTTACAACATGACAGATCCATGGCACTTGATTCTACCTCTGATTTCAAAAGATTTGCACTGTTCCTAATTTGTATATATTGTTTGAATGGTCTTTTAAGCTTGAATGTTGCACAGGTGCTTGTGGACAGGAACCCCCCCCCCCATATACACCCAATACACCCCGGGGTCCAAGAATATTTTTATTCGTCTTTTTCCATAAATTAATCTTTTAGTACACATTTACAATGTATTCCATATGAAAAATCAAAAATTACCGTAGAATTAACGTTTTATTCAAAAATCATACCCGCGGTATTATGAAATAGAGAAGGTAAGTCACTTCCATTTATTTTGTTAACACTGGACCTCTCTTGGATATCGGGCCTAAAATATCATATACCTACCACATGTCACCAAAATATGTTATTATATCTTGTTTCGGTAGATATTTTTGGTCTTTAATCGTGCTATTTAATTGCCTATGCATTCCACAATAATCCGAGTATTCATCGTCAAACGTAAGAAATGTAAGATTTGGAAATATCAAAGTAGAAATTATACGGAAGTGATGCAGAAACGACACCTAGCGGGTAACTCTCGAGTTCCGAGTGTTACAGAATTAAAGGGAAAAGCCAGAGGTCTACGGAAAAGTTCGGCAAAAATTTTGATAAAGAAGTCGAAATCGATTCATTAGAATTTTAAATTTTGCTGCAGATTTTCCAGATGAGTTAGGGTAGTCATCAATATTCTTTTTAAAGGATTTTATTACTCAAACCAAATAGCGTTTTAAAAACGCTTTCTAACTGCATTTAACCAGTTTGTACAATTTCCCTGTTGTTCTTCATACTCACATATGTTTATAACATGTCCGCAGAATGTAATTATTTGTAT